AAAAAAGGGCAAAAAAACGAAAAAAAAACCCTGCCCGGATTTTTTTTTTTTTTTTTTTTTTTTTTTCACGCAAAACAAAAACTTGATGGATTAAACTCTGGTAAGTTTTTGTTGTTGTATTTGTTTTTTTATTTATTTTTTTTTTATTTTTTATTTTTAACAAATGAAGTGCGCACCTGGGGCTTTGCGCCACCGCAAAAAAGGAAAGAACTGCCTGCCTGTTTGACTCCAGAACTGTGGCAAGGTCATAAAATATGATGAAGAGCCTTTTTTTTTTTTCATTCCCGCCGGATCTTCTATTAAACCGCAATTAAAAGTGTGTCATCACGTCGCGAAAATGCCGCCACAGAGAACAAGGAGGTTGGCGATGGTGGTGGCGAGGCTGGGAAGGGGGTGTAGTGAAGGGGGGCGGGGATGGAGGGGGGGGGGTCGGAAAGGGGGAGGGAGGGGGCACAACAGCGCAGAGAGGACACAGTAAATAAAATTAATTATGCCAAATGCCCCCGCGCCCATCAATCACAGGGCAATAATGCCCGTGTCAGGGTGTTGCACTCACACGGCCTGTATGCTTTTCTGTGACTGACAGACAACTAACAGCAATTAATTGTCATTTCATTTCTATCCACTTTTTTTTTTTTTTATGTGCAGCTGTCACGCAGGGATCTGCTGCCTGGTTTTATTTCAGAATTTGTATTTCAATGAGATAAAAAGCAACTTTTCTTCGTTAACTTAATGTTGCTGCTTTTCATTTGAACAAGTATACGCTAAAAAAAAAAGAAGAAGAAGAAGAAGAAGAAGAACGTCACTGCAACATCAGTTTTAATGCAGATACGTCTTTTTCTTCTTCTCTTTTCTTTTTGTGAAATGAATTCGTCAGAGGTGGTGGAGGCCTATACTTTGAGGCTAAACTTGCAGAGATTGGGCTTTAGTGTCCACACTGAGACAAAGACTAATCTGGAGCAGCATCAAATCTGACAATGCACTGTCCATTTTATGCGTTTCATTTTTTTTTCTTTATTATTAAAGTTACTATCATTTATATAGTCGAGCTCATTGAGCTTCGGTTTATTCCACAAGGGTAAATCCTGCATGAAGCCCTGAATATTTGCTATTTATATTAATACTATTTTATAACTTTTCCTGCGTCAAAACTCTAAAATCCGAGATTTCTGTTGCCGCTGTTTGTTTGTTTTTTTGTTTTTGTTGCTGTTGTTTTGTTTTTTTTAATGTCCAATCCAACAGATCATAAAAAAGAAATAGAAATGAAGGAAGCAGCGCGGACACATCAAACCTCGGTGAGGTCTCACAGAGCGACTCTAGTTTCAAAAGTCAGAATCTTTTGAAAAGAAAGTATTGTTCCCCCAAACCTATTGACCATGTCAGCTCAAAAAGCTTTTTTCCCCCCTCCCTCCTCAAGACAAGAGCCCTTTTATCTCCAGGCGGGGAATCTAACTCCTTTTCTATAATTTTAATCGTCGTAGTTTAATTATTAGCAAAATTAAAAAAAAAAAAAGTTGAAACTTAAAAACGAAAAACGAAATCACTAAAGCTTCGAGTAATTTTATCACAACTGTTAGGAGATCTTTTTTTTTTTTAAAGTTGCCTTCCTCAAATTAGATCCCGACATTTTAGTTGCTTCTATGACAAAGAGAAAAGTTTTTGTTGTCTCTGAAGGGAAAAGCTTCAGGCAGATGGTGGCCACGAAACATCGCGTTAATAAATGTTATTTTTTTTTAAGAAAAAAAAAGACTCTTTATAGCGATGAAGTAAGAGATTTCAAAACAAATCTTAACAAATCGTTTCTTATCTTTATAAAAGTAGCAAACAGAGGGGACAAAATACTGCGATAATCTTTCTGCGAATGAAAACAGATCACAACAAGTTCCTCAAAGAAAAGGGATTTTTAAAGTTTCGGGTGAGAAATAGTGAAAGTTGGAATGAAGCTGTGACAAAAAAAAGGGGGGGAAACATGATAAATAGGAAAACATGGTCGTGTCCCATGTGTTACATTTTCTCTAATAGTTCAACTGTACGAATAAACTTGATAACAGAAAATGTGGGGGGGGGAAGTTGTGTATCAGAGTTTCAATGGAAGCGCGGAAAGAAAGAAAGGAGGAAGGAAGGAAGGAAGGAAAGGATAGCGAAAAAGTAAAAGTGCAGAGATAATGCATCAACCTGTTCTCTGGGTTTCTGAAGAAGTCAACTTTCACGCCAGCGGTTGGACCATGTGGACAGCCCGCTTCTGCTCCTCAGACCCCGGCGCGTCCACACTCTTTCTTCACGGCGACAAACAAGGGGGGGGGCGCACAAGCCGACGGGACGCGAAAAAATTAAAAAATATATACATAAAATGTGGAGGGGGGGAAGGGAAAAAAAACAATAGAGAGGAAAAGAGAGCGAGAGACAGAGAAATCTAGGGTCTTAAGACCATTACTTCTTTAAGCGGAGAAAAAGCGTGCTCGTTAAGTCCCTTTTCCTATTCCCCCCTTTTGTGTGCGTCCTCTCTCCTCGGAGTGGCCCCTCTGGAGTGAAGTCGGAACAATACTGCCGCTAAAAACTCTGGCACTGAGCGCAAGTTGCAGCGGGAGAAACAACGCGCCTTTCTTTCGTCTTCTTCACTTGCTGCACCTTCTTCCGCCGGCTTTCTTCTCGAAGAAGCCCGATCAGCGCGTAAAACCTCCCCTCTGGTCTGCACTTTTTGGCATCCTGTCTTGTTGCTCGCTTGTTCGCTTGGAAATCAGGGTTGAATCACTTGGGCTGAGCGTGTGTGTGTGTGTGTGAAGTGTGTGTGTGTGTGTGACGGGGAGACAGTTTGCTGCGCTACCGTAATGCCTGTAAAGCACGTGCGCAAAGTCGTGGCGCACATCGTTTGAGGAAAGCTGGCTCTCTGTCGCTCTCCTATTGTGTGTGTGTGTGTGTGTGTGTGTGTGTGTGTGTGTGTGTGTGTGTGTGTGTGTGTGTGTGTGTGTGTAGTTGAGGGGAAGGCACTGATCTTTTGACCTGCTTTGCATCCTTGCTGAGTTGTGCTATTGTGGAGGCAGAGAGCAACAGATGTTGGCCTGCACGAATTATGAGCCCAGAAACCGCCAGAAACAAAGCACAGACAAGCCAATCAGCTCTGCTGCTCGGGATTTGCTCAACCTTTTAAAAGTCTCAAACAGTTATTTCTAAAAAAATAAAATAAAATAAACAAAAAAACTATATGCTTATGTAGACGTAGACTAACAATGCTGACCTATATTTAGAGTCCATATAATGACTGAAATATTCCAGAAGTTTTCCCAGGGCCGGCCCAAGCTTGTTTGAAGATCTTTTACTATATTTTATTTGGGGGCCCATTTCTAATCTGTGGGTGGGTAGATCCCCAAAGGGCCCCATCAGTAACTATATTAGTTGCTGAGAGCAGGGTCATTACCCGTATTCAGTTATTCTAAAAATATTTTTCATATTACATTCAAAATTATTTCTATTTCCTGCCGGTAACAATATTTAATACAAGTAATTCATAAATGTCCTTTGACAGAAAACTTTTCACACGCTGAACTTGACTGCACTGCCATTAATTGTGAATATGTGTAACTGAACTTTAGTCTACACGCTTTGATTGTATCGATTGGCTTCACCTTGTGTTTCTTGATATGAATGAGGCGCCATATTTTGTCAACTGGAGCTTTATAGACAAACTGAATTAAGCTGAGACCTGACAAACTGGCTACTGGCTGTTCTAAAAGTAGCTAAACATCTTCATCGAGTTAACATGTCCACTTGCGTTTAACTTTAATGGAGGAATGATTTTTTTTTTTTTTAAGTGAATAAAACAGTAAACAAGAACACAATGTCAAATGTTTACAAACTATGAGTTAATTCAAACCTTTTTCCAAAAAAGAACACAATGTCAAATGTTTACAAACTATGAGTTAATTCAAACCTTTTTCCAAAAAATGAACCAAAAAACACTCTGTGGTACAGTTAGTTGTTTTTTTTTTCTTTATTGCATTATTATAATTGTAATATTAGATGTAGTTCAGCTGATTGAGCCAGCATGCGCTTTGTTAACAGCCAGAGAACGTTTGTCTCCGGTTCCTTTTTTGAAAAAGCGACTTTAGAAGGATCTGCATGCACATTGACTTCAAAATACTGCATATCAACTGATATTTACACATTACATTGATGTAATTATGATATTATTCATGCCTGTTCAGCATGTTGCTAAGACTTGTTAAAACTTTACATTTTACACCAGTGTCTCTACTTAGCATGAGGAAACCGCACTAGTGAGGTCCTGGTCTGAGTTAAGCCCACCAGCAACCACAGTGTTGCTGACCATCCTGTTGTGCAGATCTTATTTCCCAGCTGCATTTAACACATAATCTCTCACTTTACATTATTTATCAAAATACAAGGACAACTTGGCCACACTGTAGAGCAGGGGTGTCAAACTCGTCAAACTCCAGTCCTCAAGGGCCGCTGTCCTGCAGTTTTTAGATGTGCCACAGGTACAAAACACCTGAATCAAATGGCTTAATTACCTCCTCCTTGTGTAGATATGTTATCCAGAGCCTTACTAATGACCTAATTATTCTTTTCAGGTGTGGTGCAGCAGAGGCACATCTAAAAGTTGCAGGGCAGCGGGCCTCCAGGACTGGAGTTTGACACCTATGTAGTTATTTTACCAGCTTTATTCAGTTTTTTGTGTGTGTGCGTTTGTGTGTGTGCCAGCTAAGTGGTAAAAAATGCTGACCTATATAATAAAATCCATTAAAAATGAAAATTGGACCTAATGGTTTCAGACTGCTCAGGCTCTGCTGGTAGGAAGAAACAGACAGAAATCATTCCTTAAAAGCATAGATCACAATAGATCACAATTGCACTTAAATGTGGGTGTTTAAAAAAAATCTTTTTTTTTTTTTTTAAACCTGACATTTGTCTTTTTTAATTCATTTGGAAAACATGTAAACAAGTCAATTTAGTCAATGCTTACCCTAAACTCATGCCTTCTTTGAAGCACCTTTTTACCCACCTATTGCATTCAGTCTTCTATGAAAGCTGTGAAAAAAGTATGCCACATCTTCAATTAGTAATATTTACTGATTGGAAAAAGACCTCGACTTGAAGGACCTTGAAAGAGTCGGTTCGGTTCCCTGTGAAGGCATATCATGTTCACGGCGACTCCACTGAGTTTCTGGCAGGTTCAGCTCTGGACGTTCTGCTGTAAAACTTTCATTTTCTTCCGCCGAAGCCATCGTTGTGTTAGTTCGGAAGCATGCTTGGACTCGACGTAATAATAAAAACTTAAATCTCTCTTCATCTGCAGAGAAAACATGTTTTACACTCAACATAAAAGTAATCCCGGGGCATAGTGCTGCCACCACCATGTTGCAATGTGAGCAAAAGTAACACGAATGAGCAAATCTCAGGGAAATCCTTTTAAGGGCAGCTAGACATTATTTCAGCTTAATGAGATTCACAATATTCATGTGTGTAAAAAGACTGAATGCTGTAATTAAATCAAATCAGTAAATTGTTTAAGTTTGTGAATAAACATGCAAAGAGGTTTTTGTAGGAATGTTTTCTTGTTAAAATAAAAAAAAATAAAAACAAGTTTTTATCTCTCAGTCGAGGCTTCGTATAATCATACTCTCCAAATCAAAGGTGGAAAAAGTACTGAAATCATTTATCATGATCTCATTAAAAAAATAATAATAAAAAAAAAATCAAAATAACCTGGAGTTGTAACATTGGTCATGTGATCCACTGTGACGTTCAAACTGTGAGATTTTTTTTTTTTAAGGATCACCAGGTCAGCAGTGAGCTTATAAGCACTTGCAAAGTTTGCTTATAACTAAAACCACTCTTAGCTTTGGCACATTTATTGAGAAATAACTTTTAGTTTTAATGCTGAATAACATTGATTTATTCTCGAAAGATTTATGCCAACGTAAGAAATGCTCAATTGCACAAATAAAATATAAAATTTAAGTGGATCGTCCCTCTCCCCTTTTCTTGTGATGCACCTGCTTTGGTTTAGACAGTTATATAGTGATTAGATACATTTTTACTGCCTGCCTACCTCAGTCCGTCCTTTATGTATTTTGGAAGCTGGACAACTCCTTCTGCTAAATTATCACGGCGCCGTTTCTCGCCTCCACATTCATTTACTAATTGACACCACATCAGTGTGAAGATTACTGATGAATCTTGGAAATTACATCATACCTGTCGCTGCAAAATGAAAGGAAAAACGAACCATAAATCCAAAGAAGATCCTGAGAAAAAA